GAGTAAAATTTATTAAAAGTAAAATAAACGATCGCATTTTATTATTCATAACATAATAATTAAATCATGTTACAACATTATTGATTATTGAGGATGATTGCCTTTCGGTTGTATATATCCATCGGTGTAGTGGAACTTTTAATTGTACAAACAATTTATATCACAGAGATGCTAATATCAACTGCAAACGCGCATACTCACGCACGTCCAACGTATTCAATTTCGATCGGGATTACAATTTCGAATATGACTCTCGTAATTGCGGGAACTAATTAATATCTATTATATGAATTAATTGGGACGTGACTCCGCGTTGTATATTTTAACGCAGACGATTACGCATTAGCATATCACAAAAAAATTATGCTTCTTCAATAGAAGATATAAAATAGAAAAAAAACAAATAAAAATTAACAATCCCGCATTTTTTATTTCGTCATATACTTTCTTTTACTATGCGCCCCTTTTACATTTGCTATAAAATGTAGAATAACCCCCCGACATTTTTCAGAAACTACATAAATTTTCTTGAATTCATTTCTCATATAAATTCACCCTTAATCTTTGTTAAAAAATATTATCTTCTTATAAAAAATATATCCATTTTTTTATCTCCGATCTTAATCTTAAAATAATTAGAATAAGTCACAGTATAAGTTAAAATAAAACATTTTATAAATTTATTACAATACTGAAGAAATTCGCACATAAAATGAAAATTACCCCTTTTAATTATCAAAAAAATTACAAATTGATTTCTAAAAATTATCAATTATAAATCGAAAGCTCAAAAATGTAAGTACCAGGATAATCCCATTTTAGATTTTGGACTAAAGGTTAATGTAGTTCAAAATGAGGAGCGCGAGTGTAATACGAAGCATACGGGCAACAGATCGTTCGCTCATTCGTTACATCCGAGCGAGCTTCCGATCGAGTTTCCAAGCAAGCTTTCGAGCTTAGCGCGCAATGACCAAGTAAATTGCAGATGCAGCCTTCCTTGCGTGTCCCCGATGATTATTCAATTTAATGAGCTATTATAGACACCCTCTGGAACGTGACGTTAGCACCGCAACCAGTTTCCGCGACCCGGACGATCGGCCGTTCATGCTCAACGAGTTCGTGGGGGATCGCGTAGCGCGCACGAGCCTCTCATATCCTGTCTCCCGCTCCTGCGAACACGCAAGGATCGCCCGCGTGTACATACGCGTGCGTGCTTAGCACGCGTGGATTTGCGGCGCGACACTTCCAGCTGGAATTTCGATGCCACGACGAGCGCGCAACGCGAATCCATTGATAATTAGTGAACACTTCGAGGCGAATTAATCCGCGACGAAACGACGAGTTTCGCGCGGCCGGTCATTAATTAAGAACAAGCTACGCGGGAATGGTAAATCTACTCGACATTCATTACAGCGTGCGCGTATGCGAAAATACCGGCAGCGGGTTCGCTTTTCTTCTGGGCAAAAATTTGCATGCGAGCCTTGCAATTTGTCGAAACTTTTTAATTTGCAACTTCAAATATCTCGATAATTAGATCTTTCGCTAAGTTACTGTTTTAAGCAAAGTCCACTTCAAATTTATTGAACAACAAACTTTCGTTATCTACCTGCCTGCGCTCTCGATGCTTAAGCCCGTAAAATCCTTTAAGCTTCAATATTAAATAGCTCGCCAATTAAGCTAAACTTCGCGCTAAGAAAACTCTTTCCATTTCGTTAGAAAATATTTTGTCGCTATCAATCTCCGATATTTTCAAACGTGTTAGAAATACCGCATATTGTAATCTTTCCGAATACGTTATGTATACTTGGAAAAATGTGTAATTAAAATTCAATATGTATATAATAATATATGCAATCTAATATACATATGCTTGTTCTTTACTTATCTATCAACGCATATAATATAAGTTCGTCCCTGCGATCCCAATTATTATCTACTTTACAAGATCCCGATTATATCTGCCGAAAAATCGAAAATAATTAGAGACAATATAATAAATAATTAATATTTCAGGAAATAATTTTAAAGATTAACAGATTTAATATTCAGGAAAACATTATATGTATTGAATATAAAATTCGATGCGTATAATAATAATTAGGAGATATTTAATGGAATATAATTAAGAAATTATATATATTATATATATATATAATACAAATAATAAATTACACACAATTCCTACCCGAGGTTATTCCACCGTCGCCTGTCATTTTCTAGATCCTCTTTTCTTCTTAGATTGCCATAATCCATTGCCTTTACAGATTTATTGCGCTCACGAAAATATGATTTATTACAATTCATTGTGGCTACGATGAAACAGATGTACAATATTTGGAATAATTCTCTTGAACATACAAAACTTTATATATATATATTTCAATCTTATACTTCATATATTCCAAGCTTTATGTATTACTCGAATTAATTGAGATGCGAAAGAGAAAACGATCGAAAACGTTAAAAACTGTTTGGGTACTTGGCTTCTCCTTCAGGATAATCTTCCAGATGCTGAGCCCTCCCACGTCAAAATGTATCCATTGGGAGGATTTAATCGGTTTTATGCGGATAATATAAAAGATAAGTTTCACCAAAAAATAAAAATCGAATACTGGTCTTATTTTACAAAAATTTTATCTTAATAAAATAAACGACAAGATTACGTACGTATAATGGAGATTTACGTATTGATTATTTATTAATAATTAATACATCATGTACTAAATAATCGATACATGATAGATGTTCGTTATTTGAATCATACGATCCGGGAAATTATATATTACCCCGCTATCAGTCCGATAATGATACGCAAATTATATGAAAATCAGCGAAAAAAACGAAATACAAATTCAATATTGGAATTCAAATAAAAAATAATTATCGTATATAAAGATCGCAAAAAAATAATTTATAACTTCTATCACATATTTCTACATTCCTATTTGAAATGTATGTCTCGTGTGTAATATTTAATAAATCATTCCTTTAAAATAATGAATACAAGAAATTCCTTAATCCAGATCTAGTGAGAAAATGCCTAAAAGAATGACTATAATTGTGTAAAGGATGCAGAGTAAAATAAATGTTGAAAAAAGTACGGAAAGGAGATGGCTATTCAAACGTCGATGATAGTGAACAGGTAACGAATGAGATTAAGAGGAACGGAAAAGAGAAAGAAAGAGAGAAAGAGAGAGAGAGTATAGAAATGATGAGGAGAGTTAAGGGATAGATTGGAGGAGGTGGATGTCGAGAAAGGGCGAAGTGGCAGGGAAAGAGCGGCGACGAGCTGATATTGTAAGTGGCTGCGAATCCTTTATAACTGAGAGAGAGAACTCTCGCGGGCTGAGCGGGGCGAGCTTGGAATTTTTGATGTAGTAGCGGGCAGATATGAATATCGGAAAGTTTCCAAAGGAATTCCGCAGGAGGGGGCGCAGGAAAGATGGGGGAGTTGCGATTGAAAGGATCGAGAGGAGGCGCGGAGTACCGGAAGAGGCCGGCGGCAGACAGGGATGATGGTGCACACGGTGCCGCACCCAGAACACGGCGACAACTTTGAGAAATTGCTGAGGAACCGATAAACTTCGCGGCGGACAAACAACGATTCGCAGGGATACAGATTTCGATGCCATGCGTGCATCGCTTTGGATCATTGAGTTCCAGAATTACGATTATAGTTAAAATTGCCTGAGAGCTTTTCTGGTAATCTTAAAGAAAAGAATAACATAATAAACATTACAATAATGTCTATTTATTATTTATATTATTTATATTAATTAATTTAATATAATAATTATTAGTTAATAATTAGTTAATATTATTTATATTAATAAATATAATTGGATGTTAATAAAGATATTATTTAACAATTTTAGATATATAAAAGATCTTTATATCTGAACTTTTAAGTTTATATAATTTTTAAATATTTTACAAAATAATTTAACATTCTATTCATTATCAATTAAAAATTATCATAAGATATAAGTATTAGCAATTTATAAGAAATAAAAGGAAATAATTTTTTGTTGATTAAAATTAAAGCATTATTTATTTCTTAATTAAAAAATATTCTTTCTCCTAACATTTAATTACATATTATTAATTTATATATGAATAAGTCGTTATAAAGACATTAATCATAAATAAGAAAAATTAATGTTGATAATCAGTTTTGCATTAATTAATATTTGAGCTGGATTCTTTTTACGTTTCATAATTAATATATAAATAGTAGTAAGTAATATATAAATATACATTACTTCACATCCACTTAGTTATACGTAACACACACATCTATATATGTATATAATTTACTACTTCAATTTTTAATATTCAAACTATGTTTAGATTAAATTTTTATGTTTCAATAATCTTCCTAAAAATATTTTATTTAATAAAGGATTTCATGAAAACTATATACCATACTCGTGGATGTATCAATTTTCAAAATATTTTATCGATATATTGAGAGAGAAAAAGTTTCCCCTAAGAATGTAATCAGTTCTTATCGCTATTATATTTATTTATGTGCGCGTCGAATAAAGGAAAACTTTGAAGCATAATAAGCATATAGCGGTATTGTTTTAAAAGTGTATTTCTGAAAACAAAATAACTCTTGCCATTCATTCTCAAACTTAACGTTCATTATCAATTAGTAATGATATTAATTGTAGATAATTATAAAATAAATATTTGTTTTTTAATCTTTTTTATGTTTTTATCTTTTTATCTTTCTGCAAACTGATAGTTGAATTTAAAATTGAATAAAAAATTGAATAAAAAATAAGGAAAATATATAGATTTTTCGTTTTGAATATAAGTATACACACATTAAAAAAAAGAAAGAAAGCGAAAAAAAAATTTTTAATGCATTTAATATATAAACAATGTAAAAATATATTTATTCAAATCAATAAATTCCTTGTTGGGTAAACATGTTATGTAAGGAGAATCCCCAATATGATCGCAGACATAGTTCAATGTCCTGTATGTTCCAGGCTGAGCAAGAGGCCGTGTCTATCGATATCATTGTAAATGGATATCCATAGAGACGATCGCATCAAAGATGACCCGGACACGAAGTAATTTTCCGGAATTCAAGCTGATGTGCAGGCTCAGAGAACAAGGATGATCCCTTTAAAGGTACACGACCGTTTTGCGAACGATATTTTTAGACTGTAACATTTATTTGCGCGAGATTAATAGACATTAAAACCGATAAAAAAGTGCACGTTTGAAATTTATCGTTTTAATTCTTCTGATATTTATAACCTTTTTGCATACGCGATAATAATAAGAATAGCTCTTATATAAAAATATAGACTTTAATATCTGTAAAGAGCGAAAAAAACTTTTATTAACATACCTGTAAATTTAAACTGATATTTCATTCATCAGTTTATCTGTTTATCAGATTGTATTTTAATCATTGTTTTTTTTGTAAATATACATTTTTTATTTTTCTCGCTCTATTCAAATCATATAGTTTATTATTTCAGTTTCTATGTATAACAGAAAAAAATCATCAATACAATTAAATCTAGGATAATCACTCATCATTTGTTCCTATTTTTAACTTGTAATATCATAAATATTTTTAAGGTGGAAAAAATAAAGAGAATTAAAAGTATGGAAACAAATTAATATTCGCGTATATATATATATATATATATATATATATATATATATATATATTACTTAAATTATATAGAAGCAATATAAATGTTTAGTCTTCATTGTCTTCACGCGCATCATCATGTAATTTTTGATAAACTAAAAATTAAGTTGTACAGCAAAAAATTAAATTGCAAATTTATTTGTTGTTTTGATATTTGCAATCTCACTGTTTTCTGTGTAAAATGAATGTACATCGGACATACATGCTCATCGTTATAAACTCAAACATCAAATACTGTACAATCCGACCGTGGTGGCATAATTGCACGCGAGTATAATTGCGACGTCAATGCTTAGTGCAGAATAATTCCGGCTTCATATTTCGCTTTTCTCTTCCTTTTGCGCCTGATAAAACTTTTTATATTTCATGTAATAGCTTGCAATAGGGAAATGTGTATACTATAATAACGTATTCAATCGTATTTAGATAAAAGTCGTGCACATTTAATAACACATATACATTAAGCAAAATCATTTAAACACATTTTGGAGGCCATGCAAATATATATAACAGAGTTAAATAAAATATAATTAAAAAACTAATAATTCCAGAAAATTTGTTATTAAAGTGAGACTCGTTCGAATAAAAAATTTCGCATTGCGTCAGTAATGTTCGATCAAAAGGGCCGTCAATCTCACAAATATAAATGACACGTTCGACTATAAGAGATAGCAGTTATATAATTCATTTTTCATATTTATTCCGTACTCTGTCCATAATGGTGCGTGATCTATTCCGTATGCTAAACATGAGGAGTCGGTATTTATCGGTACGACGCAAGATTGTTGCACGTATTACAGGCACGTACTACCTGAAGACGAGCCCTGGTAAGCTAAGGTAAAGAGGAGCGAAGCGAGCTTCGCGCCCTATCGCGAATCTTACCGCGTGTGTAAACTCATAAAGCGTCAAGCACGGTAACCAGACCGACGTCGTGATGTACCTTAAAATCTCGCGAGGGCAAAGGGTAATAATGTTCCACGTGCCTTCGTTTTTACGCCTGGCCGTGCTTGATTTAACGATACATCCTTTCATTCACGTCTCGATTTGAGTGATTAACGTCAATTGATACAGACATGTAAGTTATATCTCTTAGATTAAAACACACCGAAATTCGAGATAATCCCGCGTATCCGCGATTCGATACATATCCCGTGTATTGAAATAACTTTCAATCAGCTGGCACGTCATGCTAAACGCGTCCCGATGCGTTGCGATGCATCATCGATGCAGCGACTACAAAAGGCGGCGTTCGCTGATTACAACCGCGTTTCGAATTTCAGGTTGGAGGAGCGGTGGAGGCGGAGGTGTGCGATAGCGGAACACATATTATGCAAATATGTTTGCGCTGCCTCGCTCGTCGTGAAATAATGTCGAGAACAGCCAGACGGCGGTCAGCCTAGTGGCCGAGTGCCGATAGCGTTATTATATTATTTCGCTAATGTTATTGCTGTGTGTTATGCGCGGAGCCCAATTAATATAATATGGACGGACGGGGCGCCGTTTGATCGGATTTACGCGAGCCTTTGATGCGGCATCCAGCCTGAAATCGGTCGCTCGATGATAAAATTGATTAACATCGCTCGTTCTAACGACGGAGCTGCTCGTTTCTTCGTCAACCATGTATCGTAAAAGATGCATCGGAATGCACACGCGCGTGACAATGCGTTTTGCAAGGATAATGTAAATGCCACGGTTCTATCCAACAGCGCGGATAAAATTCGATGTTAGCATTATGACTCGGTTTTTGTTCCAATTCCGCACGTGGCGACGAAATTATTATATCCAGGAACGTTAATATACCTGGAAAACGTTAACAGTCGGTTGCTAAAAGCGCGAAGTCGAGGTGAAGGAAATCGTTTTCGATAGTTAGTCCGGACGGTTCGCAAAACTCCGAGAATGCTTCTGCAAGTGGGACTCGCGCAAAACGACAGGTAAAAATCCGAGTCGGAAGTTCGTCCGTTTCCGAGATGCGAAGTGAGGAAATATTACGCGGACTTTCCTCGAACGGTGTGCGTTACATCGAGCCAAACTTCGGAGATCGAACACGTTGAACTTTGAATAACGAGCCCGCTGCTAATGAGCGCTGTTCATTGTGCCGGGAATGCGATGTTCTCGCGCGCGCGTAGATCCCTGGGCGATATTAAATATTTGATCAATATCCGATCGCGCGGCGCATTGCTCGCGTCACCGTCGCTCGCGATCGGTTATCCGATTACTTTGCAATCGGTTTTATCCGCAAATGGAATCGAAGATCGCCGCGACAAGTCGGCGATTAAAAGCTCGCTCGTTCATGCGCGCGAGCGTATTAAAGCTCGCAAACCGATAAGCGAACCTCGTCCCGCCGGTTGTCTTTTAATTAACGAGCCCGTGTTCCCCGCTCGTGGAAAAAAAAAACGCGAGTGCACTTTTCACATTTTCTATCTTTTTCACGCGTTTTAATTGTTGTATGTTTAAATTTTTTAATTGGGAACGCGGTCTTGTGCCTCTTCTTCCCTGCTCCGAACGTTTCTTCGCTTGGGGATGAATCAAAAGCCTCTGTTCGTAATTAAACCGAGCCATGTCGAGTAGACGGAATGACCTCGTCGGCGAAAAATTCAAGAAATGAAACTTAGCAATTTATTTAATTATTCAACTATATAAATATTAATAATCTTTTGTTATTTGATACCGAGTTTAAATTGTTGCCCACCACATTAATTTTTAGCACGAATCTCATTCGATTCGCGTATGTATCTACCACACTAACGGCCATAAATTAAATACGAATCCGCCAAGCACGGAAAAGTGCCGGGCAAAGTTCTTAACGACCTTTAATGATTTTAAAATGTCGCTCGCGTGCGTATTTAGAGAGATAATTACAAGACGGCGTCGCGCACCATGGAATTTCGACTGGGAAAATCCCCTTTTTTCGCCGCGTCCTCAATTTCTCCTCGCCGACTCAAGCTCGTCGCATGATTCAAGATTAGCATTCGAGCGTTCGCAGCTGGCGCAGCGGCACGCGCGAACACTCGCTCGCTTCTCGTCGCTTTATAATCCTTGTCTCCCTCGTTCATCGCGAACGAAGGACAGTGACTACTGTGACGAGGCCCCGGGGCGCGACAGGTAACCGGAAGAGAGGCGAACTACCGGAGGGGAGGATAGAGAGACGAGTCCGCGCGGCGGGCGGTGGGTGTGTGCGGGTTTTAATTATTTCCACGAGATGAGATTTCGCCACGGCGACTAGTATTGAGCGTTAGTCCGGTGTAAATTCCGGGATCCCGGGCTAATCGGCATAATTCCACGGAATCCGTAATGGACTTTGGGAATGGGCGCTGGATAGGACGCTGGACCGGCAACGACCACCTCCGCCTCTGCCCAAACTCCGCCAACCCCCTCTCGACAGGACCGTTTTATCCATCAGCCATCTATGCGCGCAGTTATGTGGCGTATGAATTTTACTAGAGTTTACAAAACGTTCTACACCTCAAAAAGATAGTCTCCGTGCAAGAAACCGCGAGAAGAAAATCGGACAAGATTTATTTAATTATTTAAGGATTAGATTAATTTAATTCTCAAGTAGCTCAGAATTTAATTATTTAAATATATTAATCGATATGAATTTAATAGAGAGAAATAATTTATAGAGATATAGAAAAATAATCTAGTCTTCTTAAATTAGTGTATGCACAAAATCAGCATAATCTTTTTTAAGAAAATTAATAAAAAGATATAACTGTAAAGAAGATCAAGCTGTATTGATATTCAATATAAGATATATAGAGCTGACGAAGACCTTAAAACGGCTCTGACTTTCTATCTCCCTCAAATCCCCTCGTCTCGCGTCTTCTCACCCTTTCCGATATCTTGTATGTGTGTACGTGTGCATGTGTGCTACCCTCCTCTCTGTTCGTCCGTACGGCAAATTAGATCTTCCCGCTATCCGCTGACCAACTGTAAAGAGCTTAATGTAATAGATTCGCCGACTGTCCAGAAAATCTGACCAAGCGCGATCGAATTTCGTCCCGGTCATTATATCTTGTCGCGAACGCGAATTTCTTCATACGTTGTACGAGAATTCTCCCAGCGTATTTCGGTGACGTATATGGGATACTTGCAAAATTAAAATTTGCGATATAAAAGTGTAAGAAACTAATTTTGTCGAAAAATAGAGTAACCAATTTTAATAAAAAAATTAATTACTCTATACCATCATAATTATTAAAGATATACATTAACAAGGAAAATAAGAATAAAAAGAAAATTAATAATTGATAATTGATATTGAATAATTTGAAAAATTAAATGATAAAAATATTCAACTATACATTCATGAAATAAACATGAAATAAACTTATTACTATCTTTTCCTTTAAGAGGAAAATGGCAACATCATATTTACTAAAGTCCATGATTGCTAATTGCTTAAATGAATATTTATTATTTTACAAAATTAAATATTTATTGTTTAGTATATATTTATTGTTTT